AGAGGAGACAGGCTGGAGAGAGAGAGGAGACAGGCTGGAGAGAGAGATCTGCTGCATTAATTCATTTCCCCAGCCTGTCTTTCCTCAATGGTAAAACACTACATAAGGAATTTTAAATGAGATGATATGTGGGAAAATGCTTCAAAATGCAAAATGCCATTTGCATTAGCATACACTGGGGTGAGCTCTGTCTTGGGTTTTTGTGTTAAAGTTCAGCTCTGTCGGTGTGTGACAGGTGGAGCAGGCCTTGTAGCCTGTTCGTTTACGTGTCCACTGCATGTGGGTCAACCAGGGCTGACAGCATGGCCGTTCCACCACATTGAATGACACGCTGAGTTGACCCTGCCTTCCTCTGATCTGGGTGGTTCAGTTTGCTGGTGCAAACTCCAGCCTGCTTTTTATTTCTTCCGGATTTTAGGAAGGCTAGCTGTGACCTCATTGCATGCTAAATTTTGTGCCTGAACTGTTCTCAAGGTTCTAAGAACTGTGTCAGCCTAAATGGAAAGAGAGTGAGGAAGAATGGGGGCGGCTCGAGATCCAGTGTTTTTCTCTACGGAGAGATACTTTGTGTGACTTCCGCCCTTTCTCAGTTAACCTTAGGTTCCGATCCAAAGATATTGGAGAAATCCCTCCTGGGGGACCCCACACCAGCTATGAACACCAAAAGGGCATCTGCTGGGCCGTGCGACCTCAGCAGGAAGTTCCCGGCCAGGGCAAGGCAGATCTCCTGGCAGAGGCGCAGCAGCCTCTGAAGGACTAAACTGGGTTCCCTCCAGTGCTGGGTGCCTTTCCTCATCCCTCTGAGTTCATGGTTTTGCCTCTGCCGGCTGCCCGGCTGCCCTCAGCGGCAGCAGCACCGGCCCTCCCTTCAGGGAAGAGCCTGGGTTCACCTGGAGGGCCGGTTTGGAAGTCCAGTCTAACGCTCGGATTTTCCAGGCTGTACCCACGCCACGCCAGTGCGCTGAACAACCTGGGGACCCTGACGAAGGACGTGGCCGAAGCGAAGGCGTACTACCAGAGGGCCCTGCAGCTGCACCCGCAGCACAACCGCGCGCTCTTCAATCTGGGGAATCTCCTGAAGTAAGTGGAGTGGCGCCCGCTGGCGGGTGGCCTGGCGCGCCAGAGCCTTGCTTCCCTGTGCTCCCGAGGCTTCTCCCTGGCAGTGAGGAGTTGTCACGCGGAGGTTGCAATTCATTTTATTTATTTTCCCTTTGTTTCTGCTTTGTTTTTCGAGACAGGGTTTCTCTGTGTTGCCTTGACTGTCCTGGACTAACTCTGTAGACCAGGCTGGCCTGGTCACAGAGATCCGCCTGCCTCTGCCTCCTGGGTGCTAGGATTAATAGCGTACACCACCCTGCCTGACTCCTGACTCTGTCTTGGTAGCTACGAGCTAACGTCTCAGGGTGGCTTCCTGGGATCAGCCCCAGGAGAACTTAGTGTGCTGGGTTACAGAGGGTGCCGCAGAGCTCTCCTCTTCCTGTGACTCTGCCACAGACCCCACGGGCTGCACCCCTCCCACGTCTCCTCTGAGGGAGATGAAGGGCCCGCGCAGGATCCATGCTCAGCTTGGCTTGAGGGGAGGACACAAAGCCAGGCTTGTTTGGATAGAACAACCTGCAGGAGGGCCTGCAGAGCTGCTCAGTAGTTAGAGCACACACACGCACACACACACACATGCACATACACATAAGACACATCCTAAAGTGGAAAGTGCTAACACACCAGAAGGCGCGGGAAGGGCGAGTACTGGCTGCTGAGACAGCCAGCTGCTGGCAGACTTTGCTTCCCTTTAGGCCTCTGTGAGCAGGAGGGGGTGTAAGGACGCAGGTTTGAAGGACACTGGTGTCTGTATGTCCGTGGCTCAGATTTCTGCATGGGTAGAAGGTAACTGGCTTCAGAGACCTTCCCAGTGAGGATTCTTCCGAGAAGCCAAGCCGAGCGGCCGGCTGCAGAGCGAGACCCCTTGTCAGGGATGTTGCCAGCGAAGTGCTCAGCTGCATAGCGTGGCCTGCCGCAGTTCTGTCCCGCAGCCTCCTGCCTGGGACCAGGCTGCAGGGCTGCCTGGCCCTTCCTCCACGCGATCTGTCCTCACTGACCTCCTCACTGATGGCGTCTGAGCTGTAGGGAAGGGTGCTTTAGAATGGCGACGGCTCTCGGCACGGAGAGAAGCAGAAGGCTTACCGTCTGGATATGAGTGCGGGGGAGGGGGTCTCTTCTGGGGCTCGCTCAGGAGCCCCAGAAGGGGCTCCTGCTCTTAACATCTTCCTGCTCTTCCAGGAAGATGTTAAGTGAGTGGGGGAAGAGGAAATGGGGTCCTAAGAAGCACTGTGCAGAGGCAGAGGCGGCAGGGCTCTCGGAGTCCGGGAACTCTGTGAATGAAGCCTCGCTGACACTTGGGTGGTGCTTTCTAACTGACATAAGCCATATGATGGTACACTTGTGATGTGTGAGTGCGTGTGTATACCTGCACTAGATTCTGAAACTACCATCTTCATCTCAGTTCTCCAGAGAGCTCTGTCCTAGGCTGTGAGTGACTCAGGCTTGAACTCTGCTCCCCAGCCGGCAGGGCACATACTGTCAAGCTGTGTAAGAGCTAGCCTTGGCCTTGTAGACTTCCTAATAGTCTTTTGAAGGAAACAGTTCAGTTTGTTTTTATTACCCAGAGGGTTGCATTGCTAAGTGGCCAAGGAAGGTGATGCAGAAAATTGCTAATCTGCATTTAGCTGGCTCTGAGCTCACCTCTGCCTCCCCCAGAGGGCTTCTGGGCCAGGAGCAATGAGTGGAAATCAAGAAAAGGGCACAAATGTTGCCGATGTGGGTGAAGTGATGGCTCTGATGTTTCTTTAATATCCTTGTCCTGGTTGAACCAGCTTTTCAGTTACTGCAGTCTGCTTTATAAAGCCTCCTTCTGTAGTGGGATGCTCACCCTTTGCCCATGGTCAGCACAGATCTGACCATTCCCAAGAGTCAGCCACTCACCATTCCTGTTTAATAAACGAGGGCACTGAAGTTTGGGCTAAAGGAACCTCCATCCTTTTTTTATCTTAAATTTATTTAAATTTACTTTTTAAAATGTATTCACTTTACATTCTGATTGTAGCCTCCCTCTGCTCCTCCTGGTCCAACCCTCCCTTCCTTTTCCCCCCTCCTCCTCCCCTAGTCTTCTGAAAGGAGGACACCTCCTCCCCTACCACCTGACCCTGGCCTATCAGGTCTCATCAGGACTGGCTGCATCCTCTTCCTCTGTGAGCTGGCAAGGCTACCCTGTCAAGGGGAAGTGATCAAAGACCAGGCAACAGAGTCCAAGTCAGAGATACTCCCTGCTCCCCTTACTAGGGAACACACATGGAGACTGAGCTTCCATGGGCTACATCTGAGCAGGAGTTCTAGGTCCTCTCCATGCATGGTCCTTGGTTGGAGTGTTGGTCTCTGTAGGCTGCCCTGGGCCCAGGTTTGTTTTTTTTTTTTTTTTTTTTTTTGGCTCTGTTGCTCTCCCTGTGGACCTCTTGTCCCCTCTAGGTCTTTCTGTCTCCCTCTTCTTCCATAAGACTCTTGTGCTCTACCCAAAGTTTGGCTGTGAGTCTCAGCCTCTGCTTTGATACCCTGCTGGATGAGTCTTTCAGGGGCCCTCTGTGGTAGGCTCCTGTCCTGTTCCCTGTTTTCTCCCTCTTCTGATGTCTGTCCTGTATACCTTTCTGAGTGAGGATTGATCATCTTACCCATGGTCCTCCTCCTTGCTTAGCTTCTTTAGGTGTACAGACTTTAGTATGTTTATCCTATATTATATGTCTAATGTCCACTTATAAGTGAGCATATACCTTGTATGTCTGCTGCTGGGTTTCCCCACTCAGGATGATCTTTTCTAGTTCCATCTATTTGCCTGCAAATTTCATGATTTCCTTGTTTTTAGTAGCTGAGTAGTATCCCATTGTGTAAATGTACCGCAATTTCTATATCCATTCTTAGGTTGAGAGACATCTTGGCAGCCTTGATCACTGCCCACACTGGCACAGTGGAAGTCGCCAGCTGTGACGTGGCCACCAGCTGCCTGGTAGAAACAGCCTGAGAACTGTGTATTCGATGTCAGGAAGTCATATTTTAAAGCATATAAAAATGAACACATTAGGTTTAAATTAAACCCTAATGTGACTAAATTATTATTTTAGTACATGATTAATATTTTACAGTGGTTTAAATTTTTAGCATAAAACATTGATGTGAATAAGATATGTGTTCTCATACTCAATCTGTGAAATCTAACACACATTTGACATTCACAGCCCATTTCAAGTGGACAGTAGCCCAGTGCTTGGCGTCTCTTGGCTAGCGCCGACCTTCACTAATGGCCTTGACTTGGAGGGGACACGGGTCTTTGTTCAGGCCTAAGTTCTTCTGTCAGACAATGCCGGCCAGGTCACTGCGAGTGGCTCTGATTTTTGAATTACATAACAAGCCCCCCTCCGTGCACACACACAAACACACACACACACACACACCCTCCCCCATACACACCCACACCCACACACCCCCCACACACACACACACACGCACACACGCCTCCCCCTTGCACACACCCGGCTTCAGCAGTGGGCAGGGGTTACTGACCTGTGTGTGGTCTGGCTCACGCTGTTTCTGAGACGTTGAGGGTTCTCTGCTGTGAGGCTGTATAGCACGTTAGGGTGCTATACAGCCCTCAGTCCATCTTGATTAATAAGGGCTTTTCTTGGGATTTAAAATATCAAAAAAGAAAAGAAAAAAGAAGCAAGGAAACCTTGTGATTTTTATGGGCAAGGACTGCAGGATTCCTCGGTGTGTCAAGAGGACTCAGCACTGTTTGGAATCAGGGTATGGGGGTGTTTACATAAGTGCATAGTTAAAATAGGTGCCGGCCTGCGTTACCAAAGTGAGAAGAGAGGACTTGTGTCCTGCCCCTGCCGGCGCTCCAGGGACATTGCACTCGGGTCAGAGGAGGGGGTGTCCGGCCTGTTCCCACGAATCTGAGGATGGAAACAGAGCGTGCTAGCATGCCCACCCAGCAGTGGAGCTGGTGCGTGCTTTCTCTTCTTTAGCCGCTTCAGAGAGGAGACTGGAGCGAGGACAGAGACCACACTCTATTTCAAGGCAAGGTTCACTGATTGGGCCACACTTCCTCATAGCACCTCCATCAGCCAACGCTAACTTTGCGAGAGAACGGATGTCCGTACACAGGATGGTAGATCTGCTTTAGATGTCTCAGCTTTATGCTCCTTTGAGAGAGAGTCTCACTGTGCAGCTCGGCTTGGCCACAAACGCTGGGCCATCCTCCCTCCTTGGCCTCCTGAGTGCTGAGCTCCCAGCCACGGGCCTCAGTCTTTAACGTGAGCACACAGTAGCTAAAGGTGCACTCCCCTGGCCCTGGCCACCGTTTGAGCACACCAGCTGTGGGTAGACATGTTCTTGGCCAAAATCCTCCACTCCCGCTCCTGATGACCTCTTTGTGGTGACTGCAGGCTTTACCTACCTCCAGCCCTATTCCGACATGTTTCTCCTTACTCATCTCGGCCTACCTTGTGCCTACCTTCCTGGGGATTGTCTGCAGCTTCCGGAGCCAGGCTCAGCATCTCCTGTGCCGTCTGTATCTGTGTCCCTCCAGCATCGCCAGCGATGCACACACCAGGCAGAACTTCTCGGGGCTCTACAGCGTGTGCTGTCGTCAGTAGTGGCCTTCGGTGTGTGTGTCCGCCCCACTTCTGCTCACCCTGCTCTCCCAGGCCGCAGGCTCCACTGCACGGGGCGCTTTCCAGCTCGCCTGTGCGCTAAGTCTCCAAGTAGGAAGACTTTCTGCAGTTCCTGGATTCTGACTTTGTCTTTTACCTCGGCTCCCCTTTCCTTTCTCCCATTGTCTTCACTCCTGCTGACCTTTGATGTGATTGCCGACAGTCTTCACTGTGCGGCCTTCCGTCAGCAGCCTCCTGTGATGAGCGTGGTTCCCCCTTCTGCACCTTAAGCGTGCCTGTTCACGGTTATTAGACTACCTTATTCAATACCTCATAGGGCCTTTTGCCCCTTTATCAAACACCACTCTGCTTCGTCTTCTCTAT